GTTGTAAAGTATTTATAAAGTTTTAAAAGGAGGCCACCATGGCAACAATAAAATATAAAATATATAAAAAATACAAAAAAAAAGGATTTCTGGAAAGGGTAAACATTTATTATAAACCAAAGTATGAAAGTTTGCGAAAACGAAAATCAAATATTTTTAAGCTGTGAATTAAAAATGTTCTCATCCAAAATTGAAAAAGTTTTTTAAAATATTTTATGCCAAACAAAAATTCAAAAATATATGCATTTTCGAAGGGTAAAAAGGGTAAGAAAACTATTCCACAAATGAAAAATCCCATAAGCGTACAAGTTGAAGGACACTGAATACTAGATAAGAACATACCGAAATGAATGGGCGCGCGTTGGCAGCTAATGAGCTATTGGAGAAAGTTCCAAGGAGTGTTTAGTTTCAATGTAGTTGTTTTTGTCGTTGGCGTCATGGCACTATTTTTAAAGCAAATATTCATGGCCCAAAAGCCGGTAAGCACATATATCTGACGCATTTTTCTTTCATTGGATTTTCCACATTCACTTTTTCCGCTACACATTTTGTTTAATCAATAATAAAGTTCTTTGAAACTATGTATGAAAGTTACGAGTACTAACTGAAAGCTAAGAGGGTGGCAAGTGACTTAATAAATTTCAATCTTCTCCCCCACAAATCTACATACTACATACCTACGCTAGAAATTGTTATTCTAGCGTTCTGTTAGTTTGTCGTTTTCCAAGAAACCGCGTAGTAACTTTATGGATTTGATTTGTATCTCTACTACAATTAGCTCGCCGAGGCCCATTAAAATAAAGCGATACTACTTGTTTAGAGCTACGAGTGTTCACAATGTAGTATGTTCGAATGTAGTTAATTAAACAAAACTAAATTTGTTTATAAACATTTTTCAATATTTACTTTCGTTTGAAATTTAAAACTCAAAAGTTGTTTGTTTAAAATGCTAAACACTCCAACGTACAAATTCTTTGGCATAGTTAGACTCAATGAATGTTGAAAAATTGTATGCAGGCACCTTTAGAATTGTGGAAAAATAAAAATATTCACAATTTACATTGTTAATTAGTTTAAATTTGCATAACACATACAAGTCTATGTGTGCTGACTATTAGCTGAATTGAATACAATAAAAATTATTATTAAAGTTATTAAACAGTACACTTGGAAAAATATTAATGAAAACTCACACATTGTAGTGTCGTTGCCAGAGTACAATGAGCAGTTTTTAACGTGAATAATATCTTGGAAGGAATGCTCTTTATATTACTAACATACATGATATATGGTCTATCAACGGTCCGTTTGTATTAAGGTCATCTAAGAAGACTTTGTACAGTGATATCCATTTTTTTAACAGAGTCTATACTTTTTTAACGTAATGACCTGTCGTTAAGGCTTAACTCCAAGGTGCTCTTAATACACTTATTAATATAATGCAATGATAAACGCCCTCATTGGAATTCCAAAGAATTTCGCCAGCACCAATTTAAGTTATACGTTTGTATACAATTTCCTCCATAAAATGAGATGTTAACTCCTTGAAGTAACATCTCAGTTACTTTTAAGCACTCTGTTAGAAAATGCAACTCTACAATGCATAAAAATAATGAATACATCATCCTATATTTATCGTCTAAAAAATTTTGGGTTTTAAATCTACAGATACCATGATACTCTTATTAGAAAGACCATCCTCAATTCATCAGGATTGCTAAAGCTGTGGACTCTGATCCCCTTGGTATCAGATTTATACCTGATTGATTCTCCAAACAATATAGGGTGGTGCCTCATGGATGTTAGTAGACTTATACAACAGGCATACCTGACATCGCGAAATTTGTAAGTCCTTTCTTGCGAGGGTTCTTCTTTTAACAATAATAATTAGCTATATGTTATATTGGTACCTCAAGTGGGCTTTGGTGTACAAGACCCTTGCTCCAATATAATCTATAACGTAAAAGTTTTAAGTAATACCATTTTTGCTTCTGTTTTTAGCATTCATAGAAACCTTTGTAAGGATTAATATCTTAATCTTAATATTAAAAAATTTTATGTATAGTTATGCAACAACGAGTTTACATTAAACTCATTACATTTGTGTAATAAACTGAATTAAAAGTATTAGGACCTTACAAGAATTGTAAAGCGTTTCAGTAACAAAAGTTTATCGTAGGACGTTACAAAAGACATGATTTTAGCGGGTAAATCTGATCCAAAAACAGACCGAATACCATTAAATAGCTACATAGTTCGCATATTTTGACTTCCTAAATTATTTTCTGTTTAAAATACTCAGTAAACCACTCTTGGGAGAAATCGAAGACGGCTCTAATTACTATATAAAAATTCGATAAATATTCAAAAAAAAAAACAGTTTTGCGGATTCGATCAAGCGTTGACATAGGTTAGTTTCAGTTAATAAGAAGTGGTTTGAATGGGATAATATCGATGAACAAGATAAACTTATATTTTTAATATTCGGAAACTTTTTGCTCAAGGTGATACTTCTACAAAATGAGTGATTTATTGAAAACTCCTCACTCTTAAGGAAATAATACCCGAGAATATATTTTTATGCATAGTATAAATACGCCTACAATACTTCTCTTAAGCCAATTATTTTCTGCCCGTTTTTCTTTAAGATTTTTCTACAGAGATCTTTTAAAGAGTACTAACAATGGAAAAACTAATGTATGTATAAATATAAATAAAATATATAGTCTCACCTGTGTGTGTACGAGGTGCTAAATATTTTTCAAATAATAAAAAAAAATATAT